ACGCATGAAGCTCTCTCTCTGGGACACGGCAGGTCAAGAAACCTACAAATCGATAACCAGATCCTACTTCCGTGGTGCTTCTGGAGCCCTGCTAGTTTACGATATAACTCGGCGATCGACCTTCGAGCATGCAACGGCCTGGTTACATGACCTCAGACAGATTGCAGAGGAAGAGATTGTCGTTATCCTCGTGGGCAACAAAAGTGATTTGGCTTCGTCAACCACCGTTACTTTAGGAATAGCGAGTGGCGAGGCGCAAGGATTGGAAGCCACAAATAAAAGGGCTGTGACCGTTGACGAAGCAGAAGAGTGGTGCAAAAATAACGGGGTGATGACGTACGTGGAGACTTCTGCGAGGAGTGGGCAGAACGTTGAGAAAGCGTTCTTGGAAGTAGCGGAACGAATATATGAGAATGTGGAGCGGGGAAGGTATGATTTGAATGACCGGAGGAGCGGTGTTCGGGGACCAGGAGCTGGTGCCGCAGGGAAGGGTGGAGGCGGGACTGTGAGGGTAGGGATGAACGATATCGGCGGGGGAAAAGGTGGGAGAGGGTGGGGTGGAGGGTGTTGCTGATGAGGGATGAAACCAAAGACATTTGTACAGTATGAAAAGATACCATGGATGGGTAATGCATCGCGAAAGGCGCTGGCTAGGAGCAAAAATAGACAACCGGAAGGATAGAGGCGCGTCCGCTTGGTAGGTATACCATAGTCTGCTCATTCTCCACGGGAGAAAGAAGAAGATTGTGGAACAAAGAGGTAGCGACGAGACTGCTAGCACTCGTTAATTTCATGATAATTTCCTAGGCATTCCGATCTTGTCAGCGCCCAGAGAACCCCTGAGCTACGCGAAACCCCAGAGTTACCAGTGTGTATCTCTTCTGTGAAATGGCTCTATGCGTCTGTACAGGTGCCCGAGTATAAACAGAATGCCACGCCAACGTTCTCAAATTCTCTGCCAGCTGCTCCCTGCAGTCTCTCGTGTTTTGGACTCATGGTGGAACGCAACCGGATACTGATGCTCGAAAGCCGATTGAAAAGCTGTCAAAGCACCTAGGTAGAATACAGGAGCAACTATCCTGTCGCTAGTTATTCGTCTTCGTCTGATGGAACGCCCCCTTTTCTTGGCTTGCTCTGCACCATTCCCTTGCCCACATAGCCTTCGGATGATATACCTGTGATGGGTTCGGTTTTTTGGTTCTGACGAAACGACATCGTTAGTTAGATAAAGCTCGAGATAAGCAGATTGATGCCTCAGGCATGCTTGTGAGCGTTGCGTACCTTTAGATACTCGTTGGTCATCTCTTGCCATTGGGCGTTCATTGTCTTTGGCTCTGGTCGTGCAAATGTCCGTATGGTCCAGAAAATAACGAAGGAAACGCCAATGCCGAGCATTGTAAGTCGGAAGACATACCAATTCTCGCCAGGCGGAGGGAGAGCGCGAGGACCATGAGGGCCGAAAGCAATCCAGTACGCTGTGTTTTAGGATGGTGTTAGAATTGTAGTATTACGAGACGCACACGTGTAAAACTGTTGCCCGGGGTCCAATTTCGCGTTGGACGTATGTGACGTAAGGAGACGCAAGCAGAGCGTCTGGACTCGAACTACACGGTGAAGAACCTAGAGTATGCTCACGTACCAGCTTTCCTCTCTTGCAGAGTCAATTCGTGCCAGTCATTCTTCATCCTATCCCTCAATGCCATCCACAAATCAGCCTGGTCCTGAGGAGGCATGCCCTCCCATCGCTTCTCAATCTGGGAGAGAGTCGGATTAGATATAGCATGAGCAGCGACCGAGCGCGTCTGTTGTTGTTTTGCATCAGATGTGCATAGTGGGAGCGTGGTTCGGGGGTTTCGTAGAGATTTGCGAATTGATGGACCTCGGATTGAGGATGGAGCGGCTCGAGGGAACGAACGTAGCATTGTGGAGGTCGGACAAGTGGTTGGCGGAATGGAATGATGAGCGAGGCTACTCTTGAGCGTGACGATGGAGCTCCTCTTGGGTGTGAGAGCTCAACTGATCATGTTCCGCATAGGTGAGCAATAATGATTGTAGTTGTCGTTCACAAATTGGGTTCACCAACTAGCGTCAAGAAGCTAGCTGATGCTAGCGGGAAATGGAATTTCAACCTAATCTTCTCCTCTGTCAATCAAGCTCTGGGTACTGCCATCAGTCCAAGTCCAACACTCCACTCCGACTCTCACCGTCCCTTTACATCAATCACAATGTTGAAGAGGTACGCAAAACCCTGTCTTCGTATCTTGTTCAGTTCAATGGCACCCGCTAACCCTGGTGATTCGGATGCAGCGGGCTCGCTCGAACTCTCAGAGCCTCTGGATTGGCACGGCCAACAGCAGCTCGACGCGCCTTCCAACCCATAAGAAGCAATCTCGCTCCAGCTCTTGGAGCTCGATTCGCAAGTGGTGTAGGGGATGGCAAGATACACCAAGTCATCGGTGCTGTCGTAGACGGTATGCAAAACGCCTTAGAGAAAGCTTGCGCCTCGGTGGCCAGGTATGGACCACGAAGGGCGTGATCATTAGCTGATGCCACTCTCTTGCAAATAGTCAAGTTTGACACTGATGCGCTACCTCCTATCCTCAATGCTTTGGAAACCGAGAATGCCGGCCAGAAATTGATCCTCGAAGTTGCTGTACGCTAGCTATCTGATGCCACGAGGTATTTGCTTTCAAGGCTTACTGTTCGACAGCAACATCTGGGTGAAAATGTGGTCCGAACTATTGCCATGGACGGTAGATTTGCGTCTTGGAGATTGTTTTGTGATAAACCAATACTGACACATGCTCAGGTACCGAGGGTCTCGTACGAGGGCGGTCGGCTACTGATACTGGATCCCCCATCATGATTCCCGTTGGACCAGGAACACTTGGCCGTATCATGAACGTCACGGGTCACCCAATTGATGAGCGTGGCCCTATCAAACATACCCAGAAGAAGCCAATTCATGCCGATGCTCCTGAATTCGTGGAACAGTCAACATCCGCTGAGGTGCTCATTACCGGTATCAAAGTCGTAGATCTCCTCGCTCCTTATGCTCGTGGTGGAAAGATTGGTCTCTTCGGAGGTGCCGGTGTCGGCAAGACGGTGTTTATTCAAGAGCTGATTGTACGACCCATTGGGATGAGCTGATTGGTCTAAAGGAGCTGCGCTGACTCGAACTGCAGAACAACATCGCTAAGGCCCATGGTGGTTTCTCTGTCTTCACTGGGGTCGGAGAACGTACTCGCGAGGGTAACGATCTGTACCATGAAATGCAAGAAACTCAGGTCATCAACCTGGATGGCGAGTCAAAGGTCGCCTTGGTGTTTGGCCAAATGAACGAGCCCCCAGGAGCTCGTGCCCGGGTCGCTCTGACTGGTTTGACTGTGGCCGAGTACTTCCGTGACGAGGAGGGCCAAGATGGTAGGAAACTGCAGTGACGTGGTTATGAAACTACTTCTTTGCTGACCTCTTGGTTAGTGCTCCTCTTCATTGACAATATCTTCCGTTTCACTCAAGCCGGTTCCGAAGTGTCTGCCTTGCTTGGTCGTATCCCGTCTGCCGTCGGTTACCAGCCAACTCTCGCCGTCGACATGGGTCTTATGCAAGAACGTATCACAACAACCCAGAAGGGATCTATCACCTCTGTGCAGGCCGTCTACGTGCCAGCCGATGATTTGACTGATCCTGCCCCTGCCACCACCTTTGCCCATTTGGACGCCACCACTGTCTTGTCTCGCGGTATCTCTGAGTTGGGTATCTACCCCGCTGTTGACCCTCTAGATTCCAAGTCCCGAATGTTGGACCCTCGTGTCGTTGGTCAAGACCACTACGACACCGCGTCGCGCGTGCAGCAGATGTTGCAAGAGTACAAGTCGCTACAGGATATCATTGCAATTTTAGGAATGGACGAATTGTCGGAAGCGGACAAGTTGACAGTCGAGCGTGCCAGAAAATTGCAGAGATTTTTGAGCCAGCCTTTTACCGTTGCACAGGTTTTCACTGGCATTGAGGGCAAGCTTGTGGACTTGAAGGATACCATTCGTAGCTTCAAGGCCATCATGAACGGGGAGGGTGACGATCTGCCAGAAGGTATGCATTTGCAATCGTATACAACAGTAAACACTTTTACATATTCCTGTGCTAATTCAAATTTGCAGGTGCATTCTACATGGTCGGCGATATCGACTCTGCACGCCAAAAGGGAGAGAAAATTTTGGCAGATCTGGAGAAGAACTAGATGTAAACTGTTGCATAGAAGTTGCGGTGGAGAGGTGTACACTTAGTCAAGGGGATGCCAATTCAGCAATGCTCCAATTTCACTAGCTGTTTGTCGCTTGCAAATGACTTCTCAATCCTCGGTCTACGCCCAGCTGGTTCAAGCTGTACTCGAGACATCAAATGCATGCCCGTCCCCAGCGTTCATTATACTCTGAGTCTTCAACCTTGGTCCATTCCTTCATTGATTATGCACCAAAACCAGAATGCCCCAACGCTATCTCTCGAACAGAGAGTATCGAAGTACCGAACAGAACAAGCTTCTTTGGCAGATCGAGATGGCAAACCTCGCTACGGGATCGCGTACGGTAGAGAAAGAGCTTCCACCGTAATATACCTTTGGGGCTTCTGGCCGAACATCTGAAATGTCTACCAGAGGGGAGGTTGTTGTATTCTTACTGTACTCAGGCAATCAATCACTTATGACCAGGATGAACAGATAGGCACAATATTTGTGACGGGAATCTGTCTTGGCAAATTCATGTGTGGTTAATGGAATGAATGTTCGTCTATTCAAACGTTGACATTAGGTACGAGAAAAGGACCGTGATCATGAAGCAGACGTAGTTTCCTCCATTTCCACTTGTTGAAGCCCGATGCTGACATCCAATTATGTATCGCTTACTTTTTTGTAACCATCCTTATAATTCTTTTCGAACATCCTCTTTGCGCCGTGTGTCGATACATGCGATCAAATCGACCTACAATGCCTGGAAAAGAGATCACTGGGCGCCCCGAGACTCCCCTCTCTTCATGAGTTCCAGGCTCCTTGGGAAGTAAGTCTGCAGACCGAGCTTAGTCCTCAAGAAAGCTCCCGTCTTGTCCAGCCTCTTGATGTCCCTTCCGACCTGCCATGGTGGATCCTCTCCACTCGCAGGCGCGAGTCGCAGTCGCACAATGTCCAACATGCAGTCATCAAGCCGGTTGTAGAACTCTGCCCGGCTGCTCGCGTCGGCGTCGTTGTTCCAGCCTTCATCACCCCCGTGTGAGTTCAGATTTCCGCCAAGCTTGATGATGAGCTCGAATGCGAGCGCAGGGCCGCCAGGCAGAGCAGATAAGTCTTCGATGGACGGAATGAGCTGCGCAAGGGTGCTGGCGAATGTGGCTGTTGGGAGGTGCGAGGAGAGGGAGTCTTGAAGGCGGTGGAGGTCGTGATTGAGCACCGTCATTTTGCGATCGAGCTGGTAGTTGAGGGTCTGTGCGGAGGTTGGGTCGCTGTTCATCGCGTTCGCAATGGATGGAGGTACATCTGATGACAGTCAGTATGCTTCGGGTGTGACATCAATTGGTTCGAAACTCACCAGCTCTGAGACCGCGCTTGTCAATCCAGGCGTGCATGTCTGCGCGCTCGTCCTCGAGTTGCTGAAGCTGATAGTTGGTGTCCTCGACCTTGTTCTTGAGATCCTCAATTTGATCGAGGTAGGGTCGGATGGCATCATTGAATGCCTTGCTCAAGGGATCGGGTGTGGGTTCCACTGCTGTCGAAGTGATTGGACGATTGTTCACATCAGTCGATGTGACAGGGCCTCCACGAGGGATGGTATTGTAACCCTGGTCGCCGGCAGTAGAGGGTCGAAAGGATTGCAATTTATCTTGAGAATTGAAACCGCTCGAGTATTGGGTGTCTTTGTAGGGCGGGCTTTGTATTTGTTGAGGGTCGTAATTGTTGGTATCTTTGGAATAGGGTCTGGAAGGCATTGGAAGATCTTGCTCGCCTTTGGATGAGCGATCTCTAGACAGTCGACGAAGCCAGGACATGATAGAAACGAAAGAACAGTGTCAAGGAGACCACAACTTTAAAATAGTGATGATATGTTTAATGAGCCTGCCGGAGGCTGGGACTGATTGAAGGGAAGGCTGGAAAGGTGGAAGAAAGCTGGGAAGGAAAATAAACAAGAATGGGCTGGGGAGGGGGGAGAGGGGGGAGAGGCCCTCTCAGGTGGGAGAGTGGCTGGCGAGGTCAAGGTAAATGCGCACGGTTCCATTGGCTTCAGCGGATAATCCCGGCACTGACCGCTTTTAGCGTCTTGGCACACAGCAAAACAGCAAAACCTTAAAATACTTTACTCTTCTCAAGTCTCTCAACTGCCCTGGTGAACCAAATTTTGGATTTAATGATTCTGTGCTTTTGATCCACTCCTTTTCTCTTCACGACTACCCGCGCGCTTGTCCAACTTTCGGTCTAAAGTATTGTATTGCGGACCCCGGGTTTCCTGTACAAACAGTCTTTGTAGCAGCTCTCCTCTCATCATACGACGAGCCGCGAGACCCAAGGGAATCCAAGGGGAATGGCTCCGCAGGTGGTGGAGACCGTCGCCAGTTCCGCTGCAAAAGAGTTCAAGAAAGAATCGGCCGCTGCCAGACTCCTGGGGTCGGGTACATTAATTCAATTCCTACCCATCCATAGCCACTGACCTTCCTCAGGATCCGCCGGGATCGCCGAACTCGCCATATTCCACCCAGTTGATACCATCGCCAAACGATTGATGAGCAACCAAGGAAAAGTCGCATCAGCTGCTAGACTAAATGAAGTGGTTTTCAGAGATACAGCTCATGCGACAGTTGGGAAGAAATTTACCTCTTTATTTCCGGGGCTGGGTTATGCTGCAGGATATAAGGTGCTGCAACGCATATACAAGTATGGCGGCCAGCCATTCGCAAGAGACTATCTAGCATTACATCACGGAGACCAGTTCGACCGAACGTTTGGAAAGGGTAACGGGAAGGCAATCATGCATGCGACTGCCGGAAGGTATGTCACTGAGTATCTTAGAGCTTGGCCCGAATAAAGCTGACCTGGTTTGCATAGCTTCATCGGCATAGGCGAAATCGTCCTCCTCCCACTCGACGTCCTGAAAATTAAACGCCAAACCAACCCCGAGGCCTTCCGCGGCCGCGGTGTCTTCCGAATCGTAGCGGACGAAGGCATGGGACTCTACCGCGGCGCCGGCTGGACCGCCGCCCGTAACGCCCCCGGCTCGTTCGCTCTCTTTGGTGGTTCAGCAGCCGCGAAACAATACCTGTACAAACTCGATGATTATAACTCGGCCGGCTTCATGCAGAACTTCGTTGCCTCAATCGCTGGTGCAACCGCCTCCTTGCTTGTGTCGGCCCCGTTGGATGTGATTAAAACGAGGATACAGAATCGGAATTTTGAGAATCCGGAGAGCGGGTTCAAGATTGTGGGGAGCATGATGAAGAATGAAGGGTTTACGAGTTTCTTCAAGGGGTTGACGCCGAAGTTGTTGATGACGGGCCCGAAACTGGTGTTTAGCTTTTGGCTTGCGCAGACGCTGATACCGGCATTCAATACGATTGTATAGAAAGGGCCAGCTTTTCGGATGGATACCCACGCCTATCTGGCAAGCTGTTGGCTGGGCTCAAGCCCACCTCAATGTATAAATACCTCTCCGCTTCCATGTTGATTAGTTATAGGGCTGAGGGTTACTTACATACGATCGAGGGATCATCTTCGTCTCTTGATCAAGATAACTGTACATCATTAACATCATCGACATCATCTTAATTCCTACATCATATATAAGGTCGTCATCATAGATTTCACTATCACCAAGTCCACTGCTCAATCCCTCTCGCACCTTCCACAAACAATCTTCTCCCATCCCTCCGTTGCTCTGTGTCCACGAATCTCAAACAGCTCGCCGGCCCTCCTAAATCCTTGCCCATATCCCCTCCCATGCCCACCGTCACCTCTCGCCCACTCGCCCCATCAAAAATCTGCACCCCTCCCTCATCCGTACCCGCCGCAACAAGATTCCCACAAACGTCAAATCCGACCCCGATGCCATTGAGCTCTTTATTGCTGTACCCTGGGAACTCCACGTAAGGTCTCGTGACACCATTGGCGAGATCGCTCTTGGGTCGTATGTAACGTAAATCGTAAGCCGCCATCTGCCTCTCCAACCCAGCAGCTACGATCCTATTCGCGTCGAGCCTCCTGACGTGATTGATGCAACTCTGATGCTTCACTCTCCAACTCGTCCCACTGGCGCCACAAGTCCGCGCATCCCATAATCTCACTGTACCGTCTCGACATCCGTTGAGTAGGACATTCGTGTCGAGCCAGTCAACAGCCAGCACCTCGGGGCTGGCGTCAGGGTCCTCGTACTTGAAGGTCTGGATTCGATCAAATGTCCACGAAGATTGAGATTCCGCAACAATTACAGTACCGCACGTTGTGGCGATGGCAAAATCAGAAATCGTGGGGTCAGGGCGGGAAGAGGAAGCCCAGAACGTAGTATTCGTTTGGGGGCGGATGGTGGTAGAGACATCGCTTGTGTACGACAGCGGATCATTATGTCGTTCATGTGATCGAGTCCTTGTATAGCCCTGGTACCGCGCCCTCCATTGTTCCGGCTGGATGAGTTTGGTTAGGTGAACGCAAGCTGGTTGGCTGCCGCCCATGGTCGTCGTCCTGTTGGAGCATAAGTAGATCGAATCATGTTTGTCGATTGACGATACACCAATTCTGGAGAGAGAAAACTGAAAAAGAAAAAGCCTCCAAAGGACGAAAGGACGAAAGGACTAGAGGAAACGGAGCTTGGTGGAGGGACGTTGGGCAAGGATGTTGGACAAAGAGGGTGTCAAAGCAAGCACGGCAGAATTAATGAGTGAAGCTAAATCAACATGGAGTAGGAGACAACAGAGCATAAGCAGATAAACACGCGGTACTCACATGAGCACCCTTGACGGCGAAATGTCCATCGAGGTAATCTAACACACACCACGCCATCAGCCGAAAACTACCGTCCCATCTCGTGGAAACTTACCTGAGTATCGAAAACATGCCAACCCGACAGCCCGCTTGACTCAACCCAACTACCCCTTCCCAAATCACAAGCAGGGGGCACAATATGGTTCCTAAAATGCGCATCATCAGCATCACGTCCCCAAAGTCACAATCGAGATGTCCACGAACACGATAAATAAAGCATCGGCTCCATTGCCACGGAGCGCCTCAGCATGCGTAAGAACCCCCATGGCCGTATCGTACACGAATGTTCCAGAGCCACCATCGGGGCGACGGAAATTCAAGACTTCCATTCTGTGCAGACCCTGCGCCCAGGCTCTCATGATGGTACTGCGGTCAAGTTTCGTCACGCCGAGCTCCCTCGTAACACCCCATCCCCCACCGAGTGGACTCTCTAGCACCTTTGACCGCTTCACTTTCATCTTCGTCTCCCTTTGTTCAAACAATTTCCTCCGCTTCTGCTCGCGCTGCTCCTCGGCTTCCTTCTCCAGGGTCGCCTTCGAGTACTTACTCGCTGATCCATGTGCTGCAACATGATTGGGTTGGATCTTGAAATACCTTTTCTTCTCGGCGTCATAGTAGAAGCCTGGGAGTGCAGGCGGCATGACTCTTGAAAGATGTCTTTTTCAACAAGGTCGGAGTGAAGGGTCAAGAAAGGTAGGAAGACAAAGTGTTTTGGAAGCACAGCAAATCAGGAGGAGCATGCCCTTATGGGTGGAAAATCCGTGCGTGGCAGGATATATGGCTTCGAATTGCTGAAACGGGCAGAGACGGCATTACAACAATGGGCGGACAATCTCAAATAGCTGTCCGCGTATGTGTCCGTTAGTTGTATGACTTCTGAATATTTTATGCAGCCATTCATTTATATCAAGCCGTGTAATGGAATCAAGGATGCCAATATTCATTGAAGGGTACAACATATCAGGCCAGAAAAGTTTACAATTATTCTACAATAATAATGCCCCTGGACCCTAGAAATGAACTTTTGACGCCCCGAATTCCAACCCCAGAGTTCCCTCCGTTCCCCCGGAGCAGCCCCTTAAACCGCCTTATCGTGCTGCCGAGAAAGCCTATCCAGAGCGAAAGCTGCGCCACGAATTTAAGCGCTCGCCCACCAAATGATCAGTTCTGAGAATCAACGTACCTAAATCCTCCATGTTTTTATTCTTGTGCTTCCTTTCCCGTGGCCATTTTCCGTGCATGATCCGATCAAATGCTGCAAAATCATTCAAAAGGTAGTAGACGCCAGCCATCAAACAAAACACACCAAAGGAAAAGATCCACACTCGTGCCGTTGTGACAAGGTGTTTTACTGGCTCCTTCTGCCCGCCGTTGAGCAAGCCAAATACGCAGAACACAGTCGCAACAGCATCAACCGTCAAAACAGCCGATATCAGCTGCCAGGATGGCCAAGAAGTCCAAAACGGGCCATCAGCACGAGTAATAAAGATCAGCCAATTCTCCGACAGAGCGATTTCGAGGAACAGAATTGAGTCTCTTTTGCCAAATTTCTCGGCTATACCCCCTTTTACAATGCCATCTTTAGTTTGAGCAAGCACCATTGTTGTGAGACATATAAATGATGCTCCAGCCAAGATGAGCCCCATAATGACGGAGATACCCCATAGCTTTGGCAAATTCCACTTGACCGGGGTCCGCGAGAATGGCGCCCTGTCATATGCGATTGCAAGTGTAGCAATGTCTGCGAAAATGGCAATGAATACCACAAGTTGAATCTTCAAGCTCTCGTTGAGCACGGCAATCCAGAGGCCCAGGAAAATATCCATGTGCAGAGACAATGCAATACGGTACACCACGTACGCATGCATTCTGTGGAAGATCTGTCGTGAAGTCTTAATTGCATCAATGATGGCCGAAAGGCCAGGTGCGAGAAATACAATATCGGCGGCAGAACGTGCTGCATCCGAGGACCCTTCCACAGCGATCCCAGTGTCAGCCTTTTTGAGCGAAGGAGCGTCATTCACACCGTCACCTGTCATTGCAACTAAGTGGCCTCGCTGTTGCAGGATATCGACCACGTTGTACTTATGCTGAGGGAAGACTTCAGCGAAACCATCTGCGGCTTCAACGAAGTCATAGATTGCAGATCCTGGCATGTCCCCTCCACCACCGAGTCCGAGCCTCTCAGAGTTGTAAACGTTTTCCCCTAGGCCCAGTTGACGAGAGGTCTCCTTGGCAATCCCAACCGCATCGCCCGTCAACATCTTGATCTTCAACCCAAGATCAATGGCTTCTCGAATGGTCTTGGCGGTGTCGTGACGAGGCGGATCGGAACAGGGCATAATACCCAAGAGCTGCCAAGGGTTGCCGGCTCGCTTGCGAGCAACTCCAAGGGAACGGAAGCCACGGCTTGCGAACCCAGCCACTTTCTCGTTGTATTGTTGGACTGTCTCTTCGGATAGTGGACCGGCTTCGAGGACCATTCTCATGATGCTTGGCGGTGCTCCTTTGACGCAAATTATCCGTTCACCTCGAGCTGATTGCACGAGAGCGGTTACTTTCTTGGAAACGGGGTCGAACGGTGTGAACTCAACCACCTGATAGTTCATGAGCATGTCTTTGACACCAGGATAACGCCTGATTGCCTTCAGAAAAGCTTTATCAATTGCATCGATTCCACGTTTCTTGCGTGAAGCAGCCAGGCATGCTGTGAGCATGAGCTCGCTAGTGTCGATTCCCTCAACAGTGTACGGTTCTCCTAGCGATAATTTGTTCTTTGTAAGGGTACCGGTCCTTGAGACAAGATGTTAGTATCCAGACTCGCTCATGGTTAATACTTCAGGTAACAGCCCCTCAGAGAAGATGGTTGAGTAATAGTCCGGTCGATTGTGGAAGATTCTTGGGAGGTGGCCTTAACTTACTTGTCACTGCACAGAATCTCAACCCCAGCAAGGGATTCAATGGCTGACAACTTCTGTACAATAGCGCGCTTCTTTGCTAGGAAAGCCGCACCAACAGCCATTGTGGTAGTGACGACGGCCGGGAGACCAACTGGTACGCCGATGATCGTGATGGCGAGCGTAAATGTAAGAATTTGAACGATGGGGTTTGAGCGATAGAATGAGGAAATCCAGACGACGAACAGTGTGATTACGACGAGGACCAGAAGTACACTACCGATACCGTGTAGTACTTGAGTGAAATGACCGGTGCCTGCTGCGGCAGCATTGACGAGGGCGGCAGAACGGCCAACAAACGTGCTGTCACCGATTGCCGTGACCATCATGTAGCCTTCTCCGCGCTTGATCGTGGAAGACTGGTAAACCGTTTCACTCATTCTCTTTTGCACAGCGAGCGATTCTCCGGTAATCGAGGATTGATCGACCTGCAAGTAGGCCCCGGAAGTAATTAGGATACCGTCCGCTGGTACAATGGTGCCCTAGAGCCGTCGATGTCAATACCTTCTGCATCCGATTACTCAGGCTCGAAACCTCATGGAAACGTACCTCATCAAGGTGGACGATGTCCCCCGGAACGAGGCTAGGCACATCCAATTCGGCCAGAATCCCACCGTTGCGCAAGACTGTACATTTCTGTGCCAGCGTCTTCTTGAGTTCCTTGACAATATTCCCAGCTTGATAGTCTTGAATGAAGCCAACAACTGCATTGAGCAAGAGCAAGCCAGCAATGACTCCTAGATCGATCCAGTCTTGCAGGCCCGCGGCAAGGACAAACGCCAACTACCAAAGTCATGTCAGCTGGAAACCGACTGGTGTCGAGGGGGATGAGCCTCGACAGAAAATCGGCTCGAGGGATACGCATCCTGACTTACGAGCATGACACACTGGATCGGCCCAACAAAGAACATAAGAAACGTTTTTAGATGACTACGATTCTCCTCTTTCATCATGTTCCATCCATACCTCTTCCTCCTCGAGAGGACCTCGGCGTCATCTAAGCCCTGATCGGGAGTTGTCTCTAGCAGCGAACTGGGAACGGCTCTAGCCTCTCCAACAGTAGGAATCTCGTCTTCGATGGACAGCTCCTCTTCGTCATCTGACTCGAGCGAGGCAAGCAGTGCGTCAAAATCCTCGATCGGATCAGTGTTCGCGGGAACGGTATCGGGCTCGCTGGGTGAAAGCTGGGCTAGAGCATCTTGAAGGGTGGATTTCTCCTGGTTGTAGTACCCGCCGATTTGGATGCCGGGAGAAAAACGCCCTGGATTGCTGGGCCTTCGATTCTCGTCGGAGCGCTGCCGAGTGGGCGAATTGACAGCAGTTGTGCCAGCAGCGGTTGTACCAGCCATCGTAGCGTCCATCTCGTACTCTTCGGACATATAAGATTGATATACGTTTTAGTATGCAACGAGAAGGGCTGTAATCAAAATTGCTGTAAACGGAGATGGGTAAGGTGCCGGAGCAAGGTGGGCTGGAAAGGTAAGCATGCTGCATACATGGTTTGCGAGGAAACAGAAGCTGGGACGCTCTTGCCATAGTGGGTATATACCTCAAAGAGTGATTGGAGAAGGGAGGCACGACAAAAACAAATGCAGCCAGTCAGACCAGCCTTTACATGTAGTATTCTTTCTTCTTTCGAAATAGCGTGACCGAGTAATCGAGTGACGGCCATCAGAATACCCTGCCTACTGCCAAGACGATCTCTTCACCAATGATTACGGGACTCAGCAATGACTGCCTCTCATAGCTTTGTGAAATGTTCGAAGACTCGAAATAAAAGGTGAACATGACCCCTTTTCTCTCCTCTCATCTCCACCCTTGAAGCTGACCCAGTGCCATCGACCATGTTCGAGAATCAACGGTCCGATCAAGCCCAAACTACTCCCTTTCTCCAACCACTCTTCGGCCAAAACTTTCCTCTCGATCGCAGCGATCGATCAAGTCGCCCGTTCCTAGAAGAACAATCGCGCGTCGGTAACCCTCTGCAAGACTGAGGGACACGACATGCGTAATAGAGAGCCAGGGCTAGGCAAGTCAACGCCGAAGATGTGGCTGGTTATTACGATTGTGATGGCCGTTGTTGTTTTGGGGCATGGTTGGGGTGTGAAGAGATGGTGGTGGGAGGTTTGGGAGCGTCGTGAGATGGTAGATAGAGTGAGAGAGGAATAGAGAATAGGCGTATAGTACGAGGTTCCAAGCATGCACTACGAGACTGTATATCAGGGCCTTAATTTTGCATCATTGGTCTGGTGAAGTTCGATTGTCATTGCATCTCATCGTTGCATGCAAGTTTGCTTCTGATCTAAAGTACACGCATAAGCAAGTATTTCTTGCTGCCTTGGGATGAGCAGACATCTCTGGAAAATACATCGCTATCCTAGCAAGATTCTCCACCACCTTGCATTCCGCGGACAATTGGGTAAAACTCTCGTACGTGAAACTTTGCTGGAGTGCAGCTGCCTGAGCGAACTAAATAAATAGTCGGCTATTGGTCGTAACGCCGTGCCTGGAAGAAGTGCGCAAGTCCATCATCGAACGCCGTTGTGGGTATGTCGCTAGAACCGATAATGCCCTGAATGCCTTGCTGCTCGTCGGTTAATCCACAGGAGAAATTGCTTTGAGAGCATTCAAGTAGCCCCAGGTGGCGGGGGCTGCGCTGGCGTAGTCCCGGGCATGATGAACCC